TGATATTCCACATCCTCTTCTATTTCCTGCTTGAATTTCTGGCAATGTACTGCTGCAAATATTTTTAAATTATCTCCAGAAAAATTTTACTTGTGTGAGATATTAATGATATTTTTTGATAATTTCTGCATTCTTTTGGGTCACCTATCTTTGGAATGAGCACAAATATGGATCTGTTCCAATCTGGCCAGGTAGTTGTCCTCCAAGTTTCTTGGTATAGATGAGCAAGTGCTTCCAGTATTGCATCTGCTTGTTGAAACATCTCAATTGGTATTTTGTCAATTTCTGGAGACTTATTTTTCACCAATGTCTTCAGTGCAGCTTGAACTTCTTCCTTCTATATCATTGGTTCTTGATCATATGCTACCCCCTGAAATGGTTGAATGTCGACCAACCCTTTGGTACAGAGACTTTGGATTCCTTCCATCTGCTTTTGATTCTTCCTGTATCATTCAATATTTTGCCCACAGAATCCTTCAATAGTGCAACTCAAGGCTTGAATTTTTTCCTCAATTCTTTTAGCTTGAGAAATGTCATGTGTATTCTTCCCTTTTGGTTTTCTAACTCCAGGTCTTTGCACATTTCATTATTATGTTACTTAACTTTGTCTTCTTGAGCCACACTTCGAAATGTTCTGTTCAGCTTGTTGATTGTTGAGGAAGCACATTTTTTAAAGGGCAATATTGTTTTTTCGTAAACCAATCTATTATTTAGCTGAAAGATGACCTCCAGAAATAGCTTTAATCCAAGTTCAACTGTTACCTTATGGCAATAGTCTTGGGATTCCTCTAGTCTCTATCAGTCCTATCCAGTATGTCTGGCCTTTTTTTTTTTTAGGAATTTGAGTTTGGTTCTACATTTTTCTCCCATTCTATGGGGCATTCTATTGTGTTCCTGGTCAGAACTGTTGGTGGTGGTAGCCAGGCATCATGTAGTTAGTTGTTTAGGTTAGAATAGGTCATGGTTCATGTGGGCTATTAGTCCCATGGACTAGTTTCTTCTTTGAGTCTCTGGTTTCCTTCATTCTCTTTTGCTACAGATGGGAAAGACACCAAGAGTTGTATCTTAGATGACCACTTGCAGGCTTTTAAGACTCCAAATGCTACTCACTAAACTAGGATGTAGAACATTACCTTTATAAACTATGTAATACCAATTGACTAAGTTGTCCCTTGAGTCTAGGGTCCTAACTCTTTTAACCCAGTAAACTAATCCATGAATTGTTTAGATATGTCTAGGAAGCCTCCATAACTGTGTCCCCCATGTGTTTTGTCATATATATGCAACACACACAAACATGTATATACATATGCTTAAAGTTCTACCTATACATGTATGTGCATTTACTCATATATACCTTCTTACATACATATATAGGAGCTCTGGTAGTGTAGCGCCTAAGGTGCTTGACTGCTAACCAGAAGGCTGGTGGTTCAAATCCAGCCATGCCTCAGAAGGAAGACTGGGCAATCCACTTCTGTAATGATACTGCCTCGGAAACCCAAGGAGGGGTCACTATGAGTCGGTCCGACTTGACGGCATATAACAACAAAAACAACAACATACATATATGTATACATATCTACTTATTTAGCCACACATATTTTTTGGTTGTTCTTAAAGTTGTTACAAAATTGTCTTATAGTCTTTATTTACTTTACTTAAGTGTCTTTCTTTCCTATCACCAAAAAGAACAAATCTCTACTATTTAGAAGGTTATTCCCCTTCCCTTTCCCTCTCCTTCCCATCCCTGGTAACAATCAAAGAACTTTGCTTTCTGTGTGTATCTGTTCCTAACTTTTTATAATAGTGGGACATATGATATTTTTCCTTTTGTGATTGACTTATTTCACTCAGCATAATGTCCTGCAGATACATTCATGTTATAAGATGTTTTACAGACTCCTCTTTATTCTTTATAGTTACATTCATCAATAAACTTCTACCATCATCTCTACCTTTTTTATCAGTGTATCCGGACTTCTGGCAATAGGGCAGCATTATGATTTTCATGGACTCTAGGATGGCATAGTGCCTAAGGCATTTGACTGCTAACCAGAAGGATGGCGGTTCAAACCCACCAGACACTCCTCAGAAGGAAGATTGGGCAATCTACTATAGTGATACTGCCTCAGAAACCCAAGGCAGGGTCGCTATGAGTTGGATCCTACTCAACGGCAGTTAGTTTGGTTTAGTTTTAGACACTTTTGCCTTCCTGGGATTCTTACATTGTGAAGAAATATACAAAATAATCTTCCAGATGGATAACAGAAATGAGGGATGCAAAGACAAACAAAAAATTCTTCTTGGGGTGAGAAAGAAGAGATTTTTTAGGATGGGACTAGGGGATGAGTTGAGAAGAACAACAAATAGGGGTAAACAAAGGATTAAGGAGAAGAAAATGGAGCTATGGAAAAGCAATAAGGCTATTCATCCGCTTCATGGTGTTTTGAAATACACATATAAGATATGTAAGACTTTGAAATGTTTTAATTGCATGAACTGTGTGTGTATTTTAAGACACTCTTCTGAAACTGAAGCACATGGATGTTGCCTTTATAACCTTTACATGGATTAAGTGTGGGAGGTGATACACTCAAGACAGTGATTCCATTTCTGATCATCTTCTAACAAGGAGCCCTGGTGGTGTAGTGCCTAAGGCATTTGACTGCTAACCAGAAGGCTGGTGGCTCAAACCCACCAGCCACTCCTCGGAAGGAAGACTGGGAAATCTATTTCCATAGAGATATCACCTCAGACACCCAAGGAGTGGTCCCTAAGAGTGGGAATCAACTCAACCACAGTGAGTTTGGTTTTGGTTTTGGTTTTGTCCTTCTGTGGTGGTGACAAAATGTTAGCACAAAGATAATTCATTGCAGTGTTATTTAAGAGTAGGTATCTGCTCTATGTTGGCAAAATTCGTAGCCAACATTAAATAAGTAAATCTCTGATCTTGCCCTGATGTATTGTGACACGTAGTTGTATGTGAACAGTATAGTTGGATCATAAAACCTCCATCTCATTGAGGTCATTCTTCATGTCTCATACAGTCTTTATGTTTTTTATTTAAAGTTATATCTTCCATAGTTGGAAAAACCCTGTCTAGCCTTTTGTAAGATGTAGTAACAGACATATAGTCAGAAACTATGAAATGCAAATCTAAACACAAAACTGACAAACACTATAATAATTTTGTGCAAATAAATTTTGCATGTATATGCAAATTTAGATGTATGCACAAAATAATTATAGTATTTATCATTAAGTAGTTTGATTGTGAGTATTTGCTTTTCTATTTTTTGTATTAATAAATTTTATACAATAAGCTCATTTTACTTTGTAAATCAGAATAGCTGTTTGAAATCCCTTCTGGAATATGACACAGACAAATTATAAACATACAATATATATATATATATATATATATAAACATAGGTGTATCCAAAACCAAACCCTCTGCAATTGAGCAGATTCTGACTCATAGTGACCCCATTGGGTTTCCAAGGTGATAAATCTTTATGGAAGTATATTGTTCCATCTTCTTTCCATGGGGCAGCTGGTGGGTTTGAACCACCAACCTTCTGATTATCAATAGTACCCTGGTTAGCCTTAGGCACTGCACCACCAGAGCTCCTTAACATACTTGCACATGTAATTTTCAAAAAGAGTTTTTATGAAATACATTTCTTCTAGAATATTGTCTGCTCTAGATTAAAGCAAAGAGACAAGCCCAATTTTCATAATACAAAACACCATGATTCCCAACTACCTCTGAAAAGTCAGAGCATGACTCAGTGTTCATGTTTTCATTGAGGTCATTGTCTTTTTATAGGTACAACTGTAATGAAGAATACTACAGAAAAAATTGCAGAGACCACAACAGTATTGCAGAAAACGATGGACAATAAATCTAACATAGAAACAACAACTTTCACACATTCCTCTGTGTCAAGGGGATTGACAACCTCAATTTTAGAGATGACTAGGGGTCTAAATACCAGTACCATAGACTCAACTGAATCAAATGTGTCAATAGGCCACTCAACTATAACAAGCACAGTAGATGGGGGAGAAACTATTTCAAATAACTTGTTGAGTGTCATGCCACCTCCCACTGGTAGCAATTACATAACAAAGACAACAAACAAAATATTGTCTCCTACTACAACCCCAATCTCAACACAAGGAACCAGAGGAGAAACATCAATGAATGTCAAGTCCAAAATTGTGCCAAACACCTCTCATGATTCAAATGAAAGTGATAAAACAGGAACACTTACAGTAGATCTTCCTGGTACCTCAACCCCAGAAACTTTTTTGCCTACACAAAGAGGAACAATTTCCCAAAAATGGAAGGAGAAAGCAATGTCAACAAGCACATACCCTCAGGAATCATCAGCTGTTTTGCAGACAGATTTTGTAAGTGCCAAATTTACTACTTCACAGGAACCCATCTCCTACCCATCACTCAGCACCACTTCTGCGACCTCTTTGGGATCCAGCCCTTCACAACCAACCTTGAGCTACACATTCGCTCACATGCCTACCTTTGCAGTGTCCCTGTCTGGTAATACCCTACATCTCCAGTGTCCTCTTCTGACAAAGCAACAGAATTTGCTTCTAGTACCACCAGTCCTGTAACCTCCCAGGAGAACACAGGAGGCATCTCAACTACTGTCACCAGTGACACACCCTCTGATAGCTTCACAGCAGAGGGCCCTACAAGGCAGCCCACACCAATCTCCTCCACTGCTTACCCTCAGGAACCATCAGTTGTTTCACAGATTGGTCATGCACATGGCTTACATTCTACCCAAGGATCACAAATCACAAATTCAGTTTCCTCTTTGGCTGACAAAGTCAAGATGGTCACAGTTCCAGCTTCTTCCTCTCAACCCAGTGGCCCTTCACCCTCAGAAACAGTTCCTAAGGATCCATTGGCCACCACTGAAGTAACCACCCTCACCCCAGCACATTCCAGGGACAGTCACACAACCCAGATGACAACAGAACTGCTGGCAACACCAAACAGCCCAGACACTACCCTTGGATCCTCAGCAGACACAGCACAATCCATAGAAAGCACAGTTCCTCAAGTCACCTCTCTTGTCATCTCAACATCAGGGGGCCCTAGAGGACAACCAGTATCCCTTTCTGTCAGTACCTCCTCTGATGGAACATCAGCCGTTGTGAAAACCCACCTGACTCAGAGCATAGAGACCATGGGACAACTGCACACAAGCACACCAGCCTCTCCAGGGAAAGACACCACATTGGAGGGCACAACTACCTCCTCTTCATCCACCACAAGCAGCCAAGCAGCTTCAGGAAGTACTTCCCCAGAAACAGCCTCTACAGGTAAGGTCACAGGCTTCTCACCAACTCCCTCCAGTGACAGCCACACACCTCAGTCAACAACTGAGTGGTTGTCCACTCTAGCCAGTCTTGTCACTAACCCGGAAAACATGGAAAATGTGTCCATTCTTCTCACCAGAGCCATTGGGCCCACCATCTCTGAAGGGTCAGCAATAGGGGAGACAGTGGGACAGTCAACCCCAGACTCTCCCAGCACTTCTCAGGAAACATCAGCCATTTCCCAGATGGCTCAGACTACAAGTACAGTAACCACCAGAGGATCTGAAACTCTCACCTCAGTCTCTCAGGTGACTGACACCTTCTCAACAGTCACATCTCCACCTCCTTCTTCAACAATAAATGGACACACGTCTCCACAATCCATGGTCCACACTTTACCACCTTCAGGTACCAGCACCTCATTGATATCAACCCCAGTCAGCAACAGACACAGAATTCAGATAGCAACTCAAACCTTGTCACTCAGGGCAACTGAAGGGACAACTGTGCTCAGTTCCACCACCCTGAGTAATGTGACCTCTCTTTCTCCTTCCACAATGTTGTCCATGAATGGAGATGTTCTGACAACAAGCTCAAGCTCAGTTTTCAAGAAAAACCTTACTACAATGGTCATTAGTCTGGTACAAACTACCCCTAGCAATGGCTCGACAAAACCCACACAAACCTCATCTTCCTCAGTGGACATGTCAAATACAACTACTCCTGAGCCTCCCACAGCAGATCACACACTGTCCTCTACCAGCAACCTCATGACTAGATCAGATTTTGAAAGTTCTGCAAACACCCCTAGCAGTGCAGACAGTGACACATTTACTGCTTCACAGGAACCCACCTCCCACTCATCATCAGGCACCACTTCTGAAACCTCTTCAGAAACCAGCCCTTCAAAACAAACCTTGAGCTACCCTTTCACTCACATGCCTACCTCTCTAGTGTCCTTATCTGGTAATACTGACAAAGCAACAGAATTGGCATCTACTACCACCAGCCCTGTAACCTCCCAGGAGAACACAGGAGGCATCTCAACTACTGTCATTAGCAACAAACCCTCTGATGGCTCCACAACAGAAGATGCAACAAGGCAGTCCCCACCAATATCCCCCAGTAATTACACTCAGGAACCATCAGCTGTTTCAAGGATAGGTCACAGTCATGGCTCACAGATTACACAAGAATCCCAAAGCATGAGTTCAGGTTCCCCTATGAATGACAATGTCAAGATGCTCACAGTCCCAGCTTCTTCCTCTCCACCGAGTGGGTCTTCACCCTCACGATCAGTTCCTCAGGATCCACCAGCCACCACTAAGGTAACCACACTGACCAGAGCACAATCGAGGAACAGTCACACAACCCAGGTGACAACAAAACTGCTGGAAAAAACTACCAACACCAACACTATCCTGGAAATATCTGCAGTCACAATGCATTCCAAAAAATATACCATTCCTCAGGTCACCTCTATAGTGATCTCAACATCAGGAGGCCCCGGAGGTCAACCAGCATCCCCTTCTGCCAACACTTCCCCTGACACAACATCAGCCGTTCTGCAAACCCACCCCAATCAGAGCACAGAGACCGCGGGACAACCATACACCAGCACACCAGCCACCCTAGGGACAGACATCACCTTGGAGGGCACAACTACCTCCTCTTCGTCGACCACAAGCAGCCAAGCAACTTCAGCAAGAGTTTCCCCAGAAACAGCCTTTTCAGATAAGGTCACAAGCTTTGCACCCGCTCCCTCCAGTGACAGCCACACAC